GGCAGGTAGCTCGTCCGCCTCCCGCCTCGCCCCCGCCCGGCAGAGAGGGGAGGGCGGCCCGACGGGGAGGGAGGGAGGCCCCGCTGCGCAGTGGCACTGTGTGTAAACACTGCGGCTTTTGGCTTAATCGTGGGTAGTGGCTTCGGTTTGTCCTTCTCCTCCTTGTCCTGCGGGGGAGGGCTGGTAACGGGCGGAACGCCGGGGTGGTAAGTGCGGCGGTGTCCCCGCTGCCATGGACGTGTCAGTGCAATGAGAGTGTTTCTGTAGGTGCCCGGAGAATGTTGCCTGTACCGTGTCCGTTGTAAGCGCCGTGATGTGTGTGTCTCCGCTGCCGTTCGATCTGGAATCAAGAATGACTGTTGTTTACTGTAATATCTTTTGCGTAATAGCTTGGGGTGGTGTCAGTTTAACGGGATAATAGGCGATAACAACTGTTGTCTTTAGAAGGAGTAATTTCAAATGAAATTTGATCTTGTGTATAGTTACAATTTTTTTTTTTTTTTTTTTTTTTTTTTTTTTTTTTCCGGAAGGGGCACACAGTCTTCCAGCTGTAACACAGGAAAATAGTAGCCAGAGAGAAGAACCAGAAATAAGCATCTTGTGTTGCAATACATGCAAAAGGCCGTATGAACAGTCTGCAAGCGAAGAGCACATTGCAAAGCGTGTAAAACATGACGAAGTATACTCAGCGCCAACAGTCAGTGAAGATAAATTTTCATATATGGGTGAGCGATTTCATTATTGCTGTATTTCTTTTGGGTTCTTTCTATTCTTTCATAAATAATGGCTGTAATAATGAGAAAGCTTTAGGGACATTTGTGTATGGCAGCACCAGGCCCTGTGTAACATTGTTTCTTTTTAAAATGGAAATGTGAGCTGTGATGTACTTGTTCATATTGTCTTTCAGTGTAGTATTAATTGGCTTTAATTGCTATCAATGTATAGCTTAATCTGGTCATTATAGGTGTGATTTTATGTGTGTCTAGATTACACACTATATAAATACAGATGTAGCTGGGAAGTCTTAAAGTTGACTGAAGAAAGCAGAAATCATAGTGAGAATTTGGAACGTGGGGCAGAGATGCTTCTTGAGGCCAATTAATTTGGTAGCAATGAGGGTGTGAAGTTGCAGTGGGACTTTTTGGTGTTCTGCCTTACTAATTTACATGGCTTCTGTGGTTAATGTTTTGAAGGGCTCTCTGGGGATTAATGTTTTGGGGACTAATCTGCTGGCAGACATTTCTTTCTGCTTGGAGAGATGACATCTTTGAAGGAGTGCTTGAACTTCTGCTTTTGGTAATTCTTTCGTAGGTGACTTTGCAGTCGTTTATACAGATGGTTGTTGTTCGGGTAACGGACGTAATAGGGCACGTGCTGGAATAGGTGTCTACTGGGGACCAGGCCACCCTTTGTAAGTAGCTGGGTGGATTCTTTTTTCAATAGGCACTCATGTTGGCTTTATGTGTATTTTACAATGTCAGTCTCCTTTTGAATATGAAACCTTGCTATTGAGACTCAAGGACAGTGCTATGAGACTAGTGAGTTACTGAGGGGAAAAGAGAAATCAGCTCTAGGAGGTAAGAACTGGAAATAATACTTTTAGGCGCTGAAGCTACAATTAAAGTGATGCAGAAAGTTTTAAAATAGGCGTGTGCAGAAGACAACAAAAGAAACTGCATATTGTTGGCAGGTCCATATATGCAGCTTGCACTATGCAGATCAGGTTAGAGGTAGAGTCTCCATTCATCCTCCTTTATAAAAACAAAATTAGCATTCTTGTATTTATTTTTCTACTATGTAGTCATTGTACAGCACTGAATATTTTGGGTAACTAATCTACTATTCATTCCTTGAACACAGAAATACCAGTGAAAGACTTCCTGGACGGCAGACGAACCAAAGAGCTGAAATACATGTAAGTAGTAAATGTCCTAAAATGCTTCTGCATGTTAGACCGCAGTAGCGCACATGACTATTTCAACTCTGGCCTTCAGAAACCAATTATGGAGCTGTGGGGGAAGTACACAAGATATCAGGAGCTATGACTTGAAATGAATTGTTCCCTTCAAGTTCTATTGATACTTACTGTTTTTGAGCAAGCAGTAATTCACCTTGAGAATTCCCAAATATCTTTAGGCCAAGCACAGATATTTTAAACAGCGTTGCATTAGGAAAGCCAGAGTCTGTATAGTATCCTTTGCATTTTTAATATGTATGTCTCAGACTTTGGCATGAGGGCTGCTGAGAAGTGGTTAAGAGGAGGATCAACTTCTTACTGCAATAGGATCAGAGTACCATATTCCTTAGATAAAAATAACAAACAATTCTAGGCTCTTAGGAGTAACTTCTGTTACTTCTGAGGTAAACTTCTGTTGGCAACAGCAGATTTTCCCTTCTCACTTCATCTTAATTCTGGTACTGCTGCTATCCTGCCTTGTGTGTTTGGACATAAACTGAAATGGGGAATTGGTCTGCTTAAAACATACAGGAAGTTTATTTTAATGAGGGACAAGCAGAAGTGATAGTGGTGTGCTGGGGTCAAACTTGTCACTAGAGAGCTTTTCAGCTCTACATCCAGACCCAGCCACTTCTCCCTTTTATTATATTTTGTAGCACCAAAAAAAACTGTAACAAAAACCCCCCAACCCTTTTAGGGGTTCCAGACTGTTGGAACTGATATGAATCTTTGCTTCCCAAAGTTATGGAGAAAGTGCTAAAAACTTGATGTGCAGTTGGTAGAGGCTTTAGTCATGAAATTGGGCAGAGCTGCTCCTGCAGTACAGGATTGAGCATCAGAACGTTTGTGGGTTTTTTGCCAGTGAAACATAAGTGGCTTCCTGTTTGCCTAATGTATTAAGCAGTCATCTGCATGCGTAATTTTGGAAACCTCTGTCCTAAAGCATGTTGATACTTATTGATGGAGAGATTACAGTGGTATTATCTGTAGTTCTGTGTTAGCATCAGGTACACTTGGGTTATTTAATTGCATGTATTCAAAATACTGTTCTGAACTGTGATTCTATTGAAATGTTCTTAAGGCAGCCTGCAAAGCAATAGAGCAAGCGAAGAGTCAAAACATCAAGAAACTAATTATCTACACTGATAGCAAGTTCACTATTAATGGTAAGTTAATGATTTTAGTTTTCCTGGTTCTTAAAGATACACTGTGCACAATTTCAGTACGTGAGGCCCACAGAACATACTGAGGCCTGTGGAGAGGAATATAAAGAAGAGAATGCGTAATTTCAATAGTCATGACAGGGATCAATTGCTAACCACGTGAAATACAAGTGGAAACAAAGTGCCTGTTACAGTAAAGAATGACAGAAGTGGCTAAAGGATTTTTGTCTTAAAGCATTCAGTATTCAGTCTAGAAAAAAATGTTGTTCATGTATACTCTGTTAAGGATGTGCTCAGGAAAGTACTCAGGAGTTGGTGTAGTGACCCTGTAAGGTTTTGTTTTGTTTGGATTGGAGAGGCTGTGTTAATACACAGACGTGGAGTATGTTCAAGTTTCCTTACTTTTTACATGTAGACTACACTTCCAAAATTTGAGGCTAGACCAGGAGACTAGCCAGAGATGGTATATGCTCAGAGTGTGTATTATTTGAGGTTTCACCTACATCCAAAGATTTGGAAAATATTTTATTTCCCAGAAATACCACATGAGGCATCCAGTAAGACGTAATTTCTGAATACTTCTTAGCCTTTCCCTCAGATCTTCAGATCTTCCTCCTGTGATAATTCTGAACTGCCTGCTTATTTCTTCTTTGTATTTCTGACTTTTACAGAGGGAGTATAGTGTTAGCTGTTTTCAGATCACTTTGGAGGTGTTTTTTTTTTAAATAACTTTAAACAAAAACTTGTGGAATTTTTGACTGAAAATTAAATGTTGCTTTTTCACACTTCAGTGATTTATAATTTTTGTTGGGGGGGGGGGGGGGGAGCTGCAAGTATCTTGTGCTTAGAATAACTTCCTATACTTGAATGCTAACATTGAAAGTAATTTGTTTCATTGCTTGTTATTAAAAAAGCAAATAAATGGTTTTTGTGTTAAAAATCTGTATATCTTTTCCTCCAAATAAGTTACTCTGCTTTCCAGAAGCCCTCCCTCATTCCTGAAAGTGGAGGAATATGAAGGAAGAGCATCAGTTTTTTCCTTTTTCAGGTGGCTCGTGTTTAGAAGTAAAACAAAACTTACATTAAAAAACTCAATGTCACCTTTAGTAGCCATACCCTAGAAAGGACAGAAAGCTATTGAGTAGGAACAAGTGACTGCTAGTCAAGGAAAGAGTTGCTGCAGTTGTCACCTGCTGCTTGTTTCAAATTCTGTTAGCTTGCATGTGCATGAAAGAGGTTCTGTCCAGAGGTGAAAAGTGTCAAGGGCTTGTGCTCTGTCCTCCTGATACTAGTTTGTAAGTTGAGGAAGGGACCGTAAATGTTAAGAAACAACTTAAAGGGATTTTCCATTGCTTCTCCCTAAGGATCATCTCATAAATCTCTCCTCTGAGTAGCTTATTTTCCCAAAAAGATTTACGTATAGCATTTCCTATAGGAGCAGAATGCGTTGGTTTTGGTTTGGTGGAGGTTTTTTTGCTTCTTGTTGGTAGGGTTTTTTTAGCCTCTTCCAAAAGCATTCTGAAAAAGGAAAGAGTAGAAGGAAGAGTCTCTGCTCTTCAGGACTGGGTGTTGCATGCTGATCAATAGAATCAAAATGCATAATTTGTTGCAAGAAGCAAGTTTTTCAAAATATTAAGGTGCAGAGAAACATCTTTGCAATTCTTTGCTTTTGTGGGAGAAAAGCCTATACCATCTTGTCTGCGAAACGGGTGTTACCAAGGATGAAAAGTTGCTGTGTCAGATAAAATTCCTGTTAAACTTAGATAGGACACATAGGTATGAGGGAGGAGGAGAAGAATCTTTAGGTGCAATGTCTTGGTCTCTTTGGTTTTGCTTGCAGTTTGCTCTTGCATTTTGGGTCACTGAGGTGCTGGTTCCACTCTTATTTAATCAAAGGTATTTTGTAAATGTGTCTAGGAGTTTTTTTTTTTTTTTAATACATGGGAAGGAAGCTTGCAGTTAAACCAATCCACATCCATTTGTACTTGTTTTCTAGAAGGTTTTGTGTGCAAGGTTAGTGATTCTGTTTGGTTCAGGTCTGTTTGCCATGAAAGCGGTAAGGATGTCATATATTGTCAAGACCAGCAAAACAAAAGAAAAGATAGATCCTTATTTAAGGAGTAATATAGTAAATTTTCTGGCCAGCAAGGGATGGCCAGAATGTTAGATCTTGTTCCGTAGAAATCTGCTTACATGGTCCTTCTCTGAAGGATTCTGTTTAGCACGCAGAAGCCTTGAATCAGGTGGCCATCACTTTTTTTCATCTGTGCCTGTGTGTCTCCTCAGTTTCTCAAAACAAATAAAGCTGTAGAATTGTTCTAGCTGACTGTACCATCAAGCAAATCCTTAGCTTCAGTTTATTTGAATCTCATGTCGTAATTTTGTGTGTAATGTGTATATAAGATTGTAGTCTTTACATTAAATATCTGCTCAGGAAAACATGGTTGTGTAATTCAAGTAATAATGGAAAAATACAATCCTGAAAGACAGTAGTAGAGAAGCAAACAAGAGTATCTGTCTCCAGTGTCTTTGCCTGAGAGCTTGTAGGGAATTAATGTCTTGTTAAAAGGTTGTTTGCGTGTCTTGATCTTTGCTCCCTTCTTTAAGAGCATTTTTATGGTAATACTCCCTTTGCATAGGTATTACGAGCTGGGTTGACAACTGGAAAACGAATGGCTGGAGAACAAGTTCAGGAGGAAGTGTAATAAATAAAGAAGATTTTGAAAGACTCGATAATCTTTCAAAAGGCATAGAAATTCAGTGGGTAAGCACCTCATTTCTTGCTCTTAATGACACAAACAAAAACAAAAAAAACAAACAACCCCAAACCCCACAAACAAACAAAAAAACCACACCAAAAACCAACCTTACAAGTATGACCATAACTAAGTATTTTATAGAGTATATTATTGTACATTACACCAAAAAACAACCTTACAAGTATGACCATAACTATTTTATAGAGTATATTATTGTACATTCATAAATACAGAGAAACTGCTTGTTTTATTTAAAGCAAATAAGCAATATAACCTAGGCTCTTGTAACTAATATTTTATATATTTGTTTGCTGTCTCTTGTTACTACTTGGAAAATGCTTGCATTAATTATGTTTAGTTTGTCAGTACTGTTAGTAGATGAAACTTCTGTTCCTGGAAATCTAAGCTTAAAATGTAACTGTGTCTTAGCTCAATTTCTGGATTTGCCTTTCAGGACTCTTAAGATCCTGGTTCGTTGGTATAACTCAATCACATGAATGTCTTTAAACTGGGAAAACTAAGAGACCAGAGCTCCAAATAAACTAACTCCAGTTCTTTGTACCTTAACTGTGTTTTTTCCAAGAATACTGGGTACAGAAAACTCTTTAAAATACCTACATTTTTAAGTTTTAAATTGTTTAGCTCTCCAGTAAACAAGTAAAACAACTTTTATACAGGTATTCCTGGTAAAATGTATTTTTCTGTAACCTCTAACATCAGTGCTAAACATTGTAGGGGATATTTTTCCTCCCTCATTCCTTTCTAAATTTTACTCTGATTGTGGTATAAGACTACAGATACTAGAAATAAATCTCTACCATTGACTTTGTGGCTGCTAATGGCATATTTGTTGGGCTTCTGTCTTTACTTTGTAGAAAACAGGATGGCATAGATCTTTAATGTGCACTTTTTCTATGTGAAATGGATTGCAGATATTCTTCCATTGATATTGTATGTTCCAGAGTTGGCAACTCCAATTGAAAGGCTGACTAGATTTTATATAGTTACTGCTGTTATCTGTTGAGGAGTAAAAAGTGTAAAAATCTAAAACTAAGACCAAAGTTCAGCTGTCCTTAAAGTATTTTACAAAATTAAAAAAAAAGTGTTGCTTTATGCACACTTACTACATCTGAATCTCTTAAACTTGGGAAGATGGTTCATTTAAGACGGAGAAATGTACACAGGCACTTTGTTATAGTAATCTGCCTTTTGAGGTGTGGGATCCTCCATGGGCTGGAGGAGGACAACCTGTTTCACCATGGTCTTCTCCACAGGCTGCAGGGGAATCTCTGCTCTGGCACCTGGATCACCTCCTCCCCCTCATTCTCCACTGACCTTGGTGACTGCAGAGTTGTTGCTCACGTACTTTCACTTTCTTTCTGGCTGCTGTGCAGCAGTTTTACCCTTTCTTAAATATGTTATTACAGAGGAGCCACCAGCTTTGCTGATGGCCTCAGCTGTGTCCTGCAGTTGGGTTCATTTTGGAGCCAGCTGGAACTAGTGCTCTCTGATGTGGGGGTAGCCCCTGGTGTCTTCTCACAATCCGTCCCTGCAGCCCCCAACCTGGTACCAAAACCTTGCCATGTCAACCTAACACTATCTCGCACACGCTTTGTGCTTTTCCCCTCTCGGATCTTGTCAAATAGCAAGCTTGATTTTTGTCTTCTCCTTCCTCCCCCACACTCCTCCGCCATTACTTCTGACGAGGGTGGGCTTAGGGTTGAAAGTGTTTTCAGTTCCTAATTGAAGGATGGACAGTTAAGACATCTGAAAATTGAGAGATTCTTTTCATACCCTGTTTCTGTATCCTAAGCGAGAGCTATAACCACCAAGACTGTTAGTAGCATAGGGGTCTCTGGCTTTCTGGGAAAAGATTAGCTTGGTTTAAGCACTGAACGCAGAGAGGTTTTTCTCTCTTCTCTGAAAGTGGGAATTTTGAGTTGGAGCTGTTCTCTGTGTTTCTGAAAGGCTAGGTTAGGTGGTCCTTACCCAGTTTGCTACTTATCATAAAGTTGATTTTTTACAATTCGGCAAGACTTTCATAGAGGAAGGGAGACTACAGACATTCCTGGGAAGAACACATAAGGACTAAGTGTGAGAACAGGGCCTCTAAGGAGGTGGTGCTCTCCTATGAATGAAAGGCTGTTATGTGATCAAATTTCATGTATGTGCTTTTTTCTTGATTTCTTGCATATCTCACATCCTATACTTTTGTCCTAATAGATGCATATTCCCGGTCACGCTGGCTTCCAAGGAAATGAAGAAGCTGATAGACTAGCAAGAGAAGGAGCTAGTAAACAAAAGTCCTGATGTACCGGAACCAGAGACTGTTGCAGTGGGAGGAAAAGGACTGACATCACAGTGACAATTTGAACTGCTGTAATTGTTTCGGAGTTGAACTTTGAACTGTACTCCTTTCTGGCCTGAAGTGTTAAATATATACCAACTTCTGTGGAGAGAAAAAAACCCAAGTTTTCTTCTATAGCGTTTGTTTTACAATCGAGTCAATATTTAGTTGATGATACCAAGTGTTTGCTTTGTCTCTATCTTATGGAAGGGCCGTGATCAGTGTTTTTAGCTGTCATGTAGACTTCTGAATTCACCATAAAGACAGACTTTAAATCTTTATCCTAAGTGTTCTGTATTTTCCTCATAATGAAATAATTTTTTGTACAGAGGTATATATAAACAGCCCAAAATAGTTGGGTGTGAGGGGACTTTGGGGTTGATTGGTTTGGTGAAAGGTCAATGACCTAACACAGAGATGTCTATTAATTGGCATTCTGGCACTAGCAGTAACTTCTCTACAGATGGACTTATCACACTCACCTGTGCCTCACGGTATCATCAGTTACAGCTTCTGTAGATTTCTTTATAATGTTACTTACTTTCCAAGGCAGCGTGAACAAACTAAAAAGCTAGGTCACAGGAAAACTGGAACAATTAATTTTTACTGTTCTCTCTCGAGCTGCTTAATGTCCGAGCTCTTTGTTTCTGGCTTCCTGTTTCCATTAAGTAATTTTTTATGCATATGGGTTCTCATTAGCATTGTTAGTTGCTCTTCATTGTTGTCCCAAAGGTAATAATTGGCCATTTTATCTGAAATGGAACTAGAAGGTGATCAGCTTCTCCAGATCTTCCGGATGTCAAGTGTTTGACTTCATTTTTTTTCCAGTCAGTGATGAGATTAATGGAATGGCTAATGTGCACTTGAATTAGAGAGTAATTACCAGTAATCACTTAGCTTTATTTTCTGTGCATCTGTACGGGAAGAGGAAACAGGTTTGGTAGATTACCTTTGTCAACTTCTTTGTAAGGTACCTTCATACCATTGAATAGTAGGGCTTAAGCTAAAAGTCAGTGAAATTTTTTTGGTGTTAATTGCTATACAGAATGGCAGAGCTGCTGAAGCTTGATTTCTTCGTAGTTCTCATGCATTATAGTATCTTTACTGAGGCAAAGTATGAGCTCTTACGTAGAGTCACACAAATTGCAATAGAATGAGGAAACTGGCTAGCTAGTAGTTAATAGACAAGTGAGGTTTCTTTATTTTTTTTTTTGCTCATCCAAAAGTGCACAGTGAAGCTCATATAGGGGTAAGGTAGTGCACTGACTAGATTTTCCTTCCTTTGTATATATGCACACAATTATCCATCTATTTATTTATCTTAGAAGTTTGGCTTGAAGGAAAACACCTTGTCATCTGTGATCAGATCTCTAGTTGAAGCAGAATAGCATGACAAACAATATACCGAAAAGGTGGCATCAAATAATCTGCCTATTGTACATTTCCAGTTAAACATGTAGATCCTATTTCCTGTATTGAAATCTGTATTTTTTTGAAGCTGCAGCTGTGGGGAAAAAAAAAAAAGTGTAGATAATGGTGGGTAAAATCATAACATCAGTGTAATACTGAATTTAGGCAAGTTTACTATCTGGATGTAATTGGTAGATTATAATAGGAAGTCTAATAGGGAAGAGTTTTATGTTAGTTTGGTACCAATGTTTATCATTCGTACTTGGGAAATTCAGGACAAAAGAAAGCTGAGAGGAAAGTTACAAGATTAAGGCTGATTAAAGGAGGTAAAGCAAGTAATACTTCCCAACAGGACTTAACAGGGGCTCGAGGACACACAAAGGATGTTTGTTGGCTGTTTGACTTACTCTTTTCAGCAAACTGAAACTTCAGGAGGGTATTGCCATTTAGCAGCCATGGCATGCACTGCATAGGCATTGAACTTCTGACTGGGTTTGTATGCGCTTCTAAAAATGTGGACAATACCAGTGTCAGACTAGCTTATGTGTAACTTCACGGGTCTTGTCCACCACAGCTTGAGCAGGTCACTCAGGATGCGAGGATCCCCAGGGATGGAGGCAACAACACAAACTTTCTGAGCAGCAGGTCTTGCCACTCTTCATGTCCCCCCCTTCCCCCCGTTCCTCCCCCCCCCCAATTTATTTTTTATTTCTCCATATTGTGGGCTTGCAATGCTGGTCTTTGTGAATTAGACCAGTCTTTGAGATAAGGTCTCAGGGGAGACCTTATTGCTCTCTACAACTACCTGAAAGGAGCCTGTAGAGGGGTGGGGGTAGATCTCTTACAACATCTAGTAGTAGATCTAGTAACAAGGGATAGGACAAGAGGAAATGGCCTCAGGTCACACCAGGGGAGATTTAGATTGGATAGTAGGAAAAAGTTCTTCACAGAGAGGGTTGTCAAGCCCTGGAACAGGCTGCCCAGGGAAGTGGTGGAGTCACCATCCCTGGAGG